TCTCCTATCCCTACGTCAACCACAGTAGCTCCGACGTTCTTGGTCTTACACACTGGGACTCCATATATGCTTTTGTTTACTAAGGGGGTTCTGAAACTCTAAAAATGTTGAAACAACTCTGTCCGCACTAATATATTCTATAGGTAAAGAAACCAAAGCCTCGAAGTGTAAATGAACAGTACTCCAGACTTCTTTAGAATCAGATACCAAATCCAGCAGAAGAATTCTGCTGGGGTGAGTGCCCACGCTGCTGACCCCAAACTAATGTAACATGAACATAAAGCCCATTTAGCCTTATATTCTTGCTGTTTCTTCAGTTCTCTGTCTCCTCAGTTCCTAAGTACTTCTAGGACAGGTAGAGATGCCCCCTGTGCTTCCTCTGGGGCACTGCAGACACTCCTTCAGTTCTGTTTTGTGCATCCTGCATCATGAAAGCGCTGTACTGTGCGTAGATCTAGGCTGTGTACATCTTGAGGGCAGGGACCGGGTCTAATTCCAAAAGTCTGTATAGCCTACACATTAGGGACAGCGCCAATGACTCAGGAGAGGCTCAGTAGATGTGGTTGTTGGAAGGAAGGAATATACTTCTGCACAGACAATCTTTCCATTTCTCTTCCCTTAGCAAGCTAACCTCCATAATTTCATCTTTCTTTTTTTTTTTTTCCTTCTTTTTCCAGGTTACAGAGGGCAAATGCTGTAAATTCTCTCTAAGGGAATAACTGGGCAGATGTACTTGGGAACATTTAAAAAACTAGGTTGGCATCGGAAAGGAAACAGCCAATATATTTAGCTTCCCATGGCATGCCAAGGCCTTATTGAGACAGAAATAAGCACTGTAGGAGGAATCTCAATTAAATATTTTTCTAAGCAGTCAGTTCTGGGGCTTTGCCTGAACATGGATATAGAGCTGGGGCAAAGTACAGGACAGAGAGCCCAGAGGATTTTGAGGGGGGGCTTTGGAATCGTTTTGGGGCTGGGGTGCTTGCTAGTGACCCCAGGACCCCAGGGGTACGGGGCCGACCTACTTCCCTGGTCCAGAGAGCAAGATACCCTCCTTTCAGGCATTTTCCAGACTCCTACATGGAAGGGACGCATCACCTATTCTTAAGTGGCATTGTACCTCTGAAATAGTCTATGAGCGCTAGAGTCTTTCCAAAGTTTTTTCCATTAGTTAGCTCTCCCTTAGGGTGTTGCCTTATCGAGAGATAAGTTTCCTGGAATGACCTGAGGGGAAACAATGACACTTTGGGCGCAGAGCTCCACACACATCCTGCTTATCTTTGTTCAAATATGCACTACTTCAATCCAGTGGCTCAGAATCGACTGGCCCCAGATGGCCTGGGGTGTGGGGACGCTGGGAGCAGGGAGGAGGAAAAGAGGGTACCTGGTGGGGGCACCGGCCATAGGCAATCCAGTACAGAAGCTGTATCTGTCTGCCAAAGTACACACATGTGAATAATAACACATATCTTTCCTTTTTCATATTTGGGATCATACTGTTTTGAAAACAGCTTTTCTCACTTAAAAACGTATCATCAACATTTTCCCATGTCATTGAGTGTTCTCCTACGGAGCGATTTTTAACATCTATATTGCATGCTCTCATTTGGAAGTCAGACTTCATCTAGCCAGCCTCCAGCTGTGAAGCATTTAGATTGTTTCCTGTTCTTTTAATGCGAAAATGAACACCCCCAGGGCGCAGCCTTGTGTTCATTTCTGGTCATTTCAAGAGGCGGAATGGCCCAGTGGTTAAGAAGGGCCTCACAGCTGTTGTCCTTGAATATCAACCCTTTGCTCACAGGACAGAATCTCTCTGGGCTTCATCGTCTTTATTTGTAAAATGAAAACTTATTGTAAAAAGGACAAATAGTACCGGCCTTATAAGATTGTCCTGAGGGATAACTAAATTCATGAATATAAAGTGCTGATCAAAGAAAACTGCTCCTTGTTACATGGCAACCTGGATGGGAGGGGAGCTTGGGGGAAAATGGATACATGTGTATGTGTGACTGAGTCCCTTTACTGTCCACCTGAAACTATAACAACATTGTTAAACAGCTCAGCCAGTTCAGTCACTCAGTCATGTTCCGACTTTTCGACCCCATGGACTGCAGCACACCAGGCCTCCCTGTCCATCACCAACTCCCGGAGTTTACCCAAACTCATGTGAGTCGGTGATGCCATCCAACCATCTCATCTTCTGTCATCCCCTTCTCCTCCTGCCCTCAATCCTTCTCAGCATCAGGGTCTTTTCAAGTAAATCAAGTGGCCAAAGTATTGGAGTTTCAGCTTTGGCATCAGTCCTTCCANGTTTCTCAAGAGGCAGGTCAGGTGGTTTGGTATTCCCATGTCTTTAATTGGCCATATGCATGCTAAGTCTCTTCAGTCTTACCCAACTGTTTGCAACCCTATGGACTGTAGCCTGCCAGGCTCCTCAGTCCATAGGATTCTCTAGGAAAAATACTGGAGTAGGTTGCCATGCCCTCCTCCAGGGGATCTTCCTGACCCAGGGATCAAACTGGAGTCTCTCACGTCTCCTGCACTGGCAGGCAGTTTCTCTACCACCAGCGCCACCTGGGAAGTGGGCTATACACCAGTATAAAATTAAAATTTTTTTTAAGTGTAAGGTACTAAAAAAATGTTATCCTTAGCACAAAGAACTCTGTTCACTATTCTGGAATAACCTAAACCGGAAAAAAATTTGAAAAAGAATAGACATATGTATAAGTATGGCAGAATCACTTTGCTGTATGCCTGAAGTTGATTGTTAATCAACTCCAATACAGAGAAAAAAAAAATGCTATCATTGACACTGTGTTGTTGGTTAAGAAAGTACTCAGTGAACTTCTGTATTACGTCTTTTGGGTTATATTCTTCAACAAGGCGTTTCTGCAGCAGCAATTTTATAATGTTTAGGCCTTTCCTCAAGGTCTTTTGCTGCATCCCCTCCCATGGGACCAAGTAATGCTAAATGTTTCCTCAGGTCCAGACCTCAGTAGCCACCTTCCCTTTCACCATATCCTTGCTCTCAGAGGTCTCCACCCCCTCAGCTTTCTGACACCTGTGGTTCTCACTCACCACTAACATGCCAATCATGTCTCCACATGGGTGTCCCACCATCTCAAATCTCCGAGTCCGACACCAAAGCCACCACATCCTGCTCCCTCTCCTCCACCTCCCCAAGGCTCCTGGTTTCCATCTTCCTGTCACCAAAGCTTGAAAATTCAAAGACACCCCGAGTTGCTCATCTTCCGATGTCTAAGCAGTGATCAGCCCCACACATCATTTTTTCTCAGTATCTCCTGCAGTATCTTTCCCATTGCATTTCCAACACTATCACCCTTAGTCAAACTTTTATCATAAGGCAGATCCTCTTGCCAATCAGCTCTCTCCTTCTGCACACTCCTCCTTTGATCAACTTCAGGATGTATCTCTAGATGCCCAGCCACCCCCCTACTCAAGGATCCTCTGCAGTCCTCACTGCCTGAGTGAAGCCCACGGGCCTCCACTTGGTGTCCAAGGACCTCAAAGACCTATTCTATATTTCCAGCCCTGTGTTCTGGACATTTTCTTGTCCAATTTTCTTTGCCTGGAATATCCATTTGCTCTAAATCTTATCCATCCTTCGGATGATTCTCTTCCCTGAGGCTTTTCCAGCCCACATTAATAAGTTGTTTTACTTGGGACAGTTGAGCTATAGGCAATAGTTTGAGAAACACTCAAGGATATTTTCTAGCTCTCCTCAAAGGAAATCTATGGGCAGAGTTGCCAACAGGGTCGACAGTAGCAAACACTGTTGCTGACCAACATCTATTTCTCTCTTCCTGTGTTCTAACTGAACTTCAGTATTATTCAAGTCCCCACCTCTCCTTCACTCAGCCATGTGCTCTAGGGAGGCCGACCTTGTTTCTTTTTTTTTTTTAACACCAAAAACATTTTTGTATTGGGGTACAGCCAATTAACAATGTTGTGATAGGTTCAGGTGAAAAGTGAAGGGACTCAGCCATACACATACATGTATCCATTCTCCCCCAAACTCCCCACCTCTCTGACCTCATTTCTTAACTGGAGGAAGTAGTGATTAAGGACACAGGCCTTGGGGCCTGAGTTCCAAGCTTAGTTCTGCCACTTCCTAGCTGCGTGGCCCCTGGGTAAATTATTTTAAGGCTGTGTTTCAATGCCCTCAGGTATAAAATGAAGATACTAAAAGTATTTCTCCTAGGGCATTGTTTTTTTATTTTTTGACCATGTGGCGCAGTTTACAGGATCTTAGTTCCTCAACCAGGGATCAAACCAGGCTCTGGCGGTGAAAGCAGAGTCCTAACCACTGGACCACCAAGGAATCCCTTCTTAGAGCATTATGATACAGGTTTAGCACTTAGCACAGTACCTGGCACATAATGAAAGTCGTAGGTATACAGTACTTGCTGTTTTCAGCCCAACTAAGATGATCGGGCCAGCATAGCGTTCCCAGGCCACTTGTCCTTGCCTGCTTTGGGGTAGCCATGGAATCCCAAAAAGTGCTGGTCAAAGAGTCATGAGGGTGTCTGCTGGAGATCTGGGGGAGATTATCCTAACTCTTATCACACAAGATTTTCTGACCTTTTATGCCCTGCACTACAGCCATGTCTGAAGTCTAGGATTAACAGTCTCAGGAGGGTGGGCCTCTGTTGATTGAATGATGTCCTCAGGGACCCAGACTCTCTCCTCTCTCTGTGCATCCTCTTCCATACACCGGTTTCTTCCGAAGAGCCAATTAGTCGTAGCAGCCCACTCACCACGTTCCAGGCACAGTGACAACCAGAGAACTAGTGAGATTTCCCTTTTTCCTGGCTCATTAGGAGAAACAGAAGCATTCCCGTGGGCTGCCCAGCTGCGCCCCTTGCCCCCGCCTCTGCCCCACTTCCTGCCTCATTAGCTGGAATTGTGTCATGTGCCCCTTTCTTGAAACAACCAATGGCAAAAGAAAGAAGCCATTTTGTTGTCCAATCAGGGCAAGCCTAGACCTGGGGGCGGGGTCATTATCCACAGACTATAATGCCGCTTCTGGCAGCATCTCTACTGGCTCCTTTTTATCCACTGGCAGTGGTGTCAAGGTGATGGACTTCCGGGTAAGTTTCAGGAGGCCTGACTTCCGGCCTGGCACTATTGCTAGCTAGCTGGTTGACTTTGAACACGTCACTTCACTTCTCTGGGGCAGTGTGCTCAATGGTAAAGCCTAACCCTGCCTTCTTGTTCTAAGAATCCAAGAAGAATATGAAGACAGCACTTTGTGAGCTTAAAGCTGTTCTATAAATGTAAATAAAGTGTGACTCTTAAGAGGCAGTTTTCCTTCTTCATGAATCTATTCTCTTAGGTAACAGATCTCTACAGCCTGCAGCCAGCTCAGGTAGTGAATCAGGAATCTGTCTCCCTCCTCCTCTTGGCTGCTCTCTAGGAGCTGCGTCGGCTTGGACCCCACTGTTGTATCAGCAGCCCCATCACAGGTCATCTGTCTATCTCCACCACCATAACCATAGGTCTTCTTTGGACTGAAGAGTCTTTATTTTTAGGCCATGCCACTCTGTATGTAGGATGTTAGTTCCCTGACCAAAGATTGAAATCATGTCCTCTGCAGTGGAAATGTGCAATCTTAACCACTGGACAAGCAGGGAAGTCCCTGGACTGGAAAGTCTTTAGGGAAGAAAACTCCTGGCTCTTTCAGATATCCAGGTCTATGTGCCACAAATCTCACTGCCAGAAGGGATGGGATGTTGCCTTTCCATCTAGAAGCTCTAGGCCGTCTTCCAATGGCTAAGACTCCTTGCTTCCAGTGCAGGGGGCCTGGGTTTGATCCCTGGTCAGAGAACTAGACCCCATATATTGAAACTAAGAGTTTGCATGCTGCAACTGAAAGATCTCACGTGCTGCATTGAAGATGAAGGATTCTGTGTGCTGAACTGGACCCAGTGTAGCCAAATGAATTTTTTTTTTTTTCTTTAAAAAAGCATGGGTTCCAGAATCAGGCAGTTTCTCAGTTAGAATCTAGATCTCAATGCTCAGTGACTAGTTGATCTAAGCAAATCATTTAGCCTCTGAACTTCAGTTTCTCCATCTTTAAAATGAATGTCTGCTTCATAAGGCTGCTCTTAGATAAGATGAAATATGTAAACCACTTAGCACTGGTTTGTGCCTGGCATGTAGCAAGAACTCAACAAGCAGCAGCTAGGCTTTCTAGTCTATTTATAACAATTGTTGGGGAAAATGAATCCTAGCTTCTCTCTGGTCCTTGAGAAGGTGGGAGCCTTGGGAAGAGGAGAAGGAGATGTAGGTTCCAGTCCTGGTGCTACAACCATGAACAGTGTGGCCTAGGTCACCCCATTTCTCTCTCAGCTTCTGTTTCTTGATCCCTAAAGTGTTGGGAGTTGATTGGAGCAACTCTCAGGCTCTGCCTGAGAGCTTATGTCTGTGACTTCCGAGTTTTTCCATGACAAAACTTTTAAAGTCTCCTTCTGTCCATCTGACTTTCAGAATTGGCTCCCAGGATGGTGTCCAGACATTGGTTCCTGGCACTCCTCACCATTTTCGGACATGGACACTGCTTCTCCAGATCAGTGCTGCTGCTGCCCTTTCACCTTCATCCAGGGCTCTGCTTGGGTTTCTTGGAGGAGACGCTATCCTTACCCGCCACCCCCACCCCAGGCCATCGTGTCCTTTCACTTTCTCGTCTCCTGCCAAAATTCCTGGCTCCCTAAGCCAGGTAGGAAAGCGGTTTAGTTCGACCCAATCTGGCATTTTCTCAGAACCTCCCCTGCCTCTGGCACATTCCTTGTGTTTGGGCAGAACCCAGAGAGCTAGAGAATTCCTCTCCCTCCTTAGCGTGGGTCCCCGTGTTGGCATGCCAACAGCCCCAAATATTTAAAGCAATCATGAAAATGAGCTCAGAGTCCCATGCCAGAGCCTTGAAAGGAATTAGGCTAAAAACAGGACAAAGGAAGAGGTGAGGCCAAACGGAAAATGCCATGAAAGGCACTGCCCAGTGTGGCCGGGGCCCAGAGCCCTCCTCACTGGCTTCATTCATCTGCAGCCAGCCCCTGTGCTGGGCACCAATGATGCACAGTTAAATGCATCATCACTCCTGCCCTCGAGGAGCAACTAGTTCAGCCAGGGAAGATATTCACACAGAGTGCAGAGTGGTGAGTAGAGACAAGACGCTACCAGAGGCACCGCAGAGCCTCCAAGGAAGGGGGCATTGTCTCAGCCCAGGAGGTCAGCAAGGCATCTGATGCAGGCCTGACTTAGGACGGCCATTCTCCAGGAGACAAGGCAGAAGATGTACTTTTGGGCAGAGGGGAAACGTGCTGGAGCCTGAGATAGGGTGGAAGAGAGAGAGAAAGTGCTCAAGCGTAACTGCTTTGTAAAGACCGGGTGTCTCCAGCAGGCATGTTTATGTACAGGCAATGTGCAGGACAGAGAACAAAAGTAGCCTTACTGTTTAAGATTTTTTAAAATGTTGAGATGGACCCCTGGACGCACACAAACAGAAGGAAAGTCTTGAGCAGAAAGCCTGTATCAGAAGGGACTTTGAGTGCGAGCCAAGCATGGTGCCTGTGTCGGGAGCTGTGCCCTCAGGGCAGCACCTTGCCTGTGAGCAGTCCAGGGAGACTGAGCTCCTGCTGGGGGGGAGGTGGGGTTTCCCAGGTCACTCGTGTGATAGAAGAGAGGCAGCTTGGCAGACGGGAAGAGCTGGCGGTCCTCCAGACACCAGGCCCCGCCACGCGGGGAAGGCGCCGAGGTCAAAAGCAGATGCCCGAGTGAGCTGTGATGAAGAGAACTCCAGCAGGGGATGGGAGAGATGGGGCAGGCCCAGTGCCTCCTCCTGCCTGAGTGCTTCCAAGTCCTCACAGCAGGGGTGGAGAGCAGCTTTGATCTGAATCTTGGGCAACCAGTGTGCCGGGCAGTCACGGGGAAGCCTCTTTTGGAAAGAAATGAGCAAAATGAAAACGACACACGTGAAATGACCACTAGCTGCTGTAAAAAAAGGAAAGTTATGACCAAAACATCTGCTAATAATGGTGGTGCTGTCAGCAGCAGCAGCATCTTTATTTAAGTGGCTCTAACATTTACTCTGTGGGTGCTAAGTCCCTCAATCACGTTCTTCTCTGCGATCCCGTGGACTATAGCCTCCCAGGCTTCCCTGTCCATGGAGTTCTCCAGGCAAGAATACTGGAGTATTGTGGGTTGCCATTCACTTCTCCAGGGGATCTTCCCGACCCAGGGATCAAACTGGGGTCTCCTGCATTGCAGGCGTATTCTTTTACCATCTCAGCCACCAGGGAAGCCCAGCGTTTACTAAGCATCTACTATAATGCTTCATAGCACTTAATCTTCACAGCAACTTCAAGATATCACTATCTTTACTAACTCCATTTTACAGAGGAGGACATATCTCCTCAGAAACCTCAATGAAGGTCCAGGATGCCCTAAAACCAGGCAGTATGCACTTTAAAAGTAGAAAGTGTTGGAGGCTGACTTATGTCTTACCCTCTAAATTCATATGTTGAAGTCCTAGCCCCTAGTGGTTCAGAATGTAACTGTATTTGGAGAAGGGGTCTTTAAAGAAGTAATTAAGTTCAAATGGGATCAAGATGGACTCATTCAATACGACTGATGCCTGATGAGAAGGGGAGATGAGGACACAGGCAGGCACAAAAGGGAAAATCATCTGAAGATACAGGGGAGCAGATGGCCATCTATAAGCTCGAGAGAGAGAGGCCTCAGAAAAAACCAAACCTGTCAACATGCTGTTCTTGGACTTCCAGCCTCCAGAATTGCAAGAAAATAAATTTCCATTGTTTAAGCCTCCCAGGCTGTAGTGTTTGTCATGGCAGCCCAAGCAGACTAATAGAGGGAGCAGGAGCCCAGGCATGCCTTAGAGAAACCAGGTGGCCAAGTCTGCAGGGGCGCTGACCGCCACAAGCCTTTGCCTTGTCCTTGGCTGAAGAGAGCCTGAGGACCTCTTAGCATCCTCAGTTGGGCACTGGGGGTCTGCAGTGGCACAGCAACAGTGCACTGATGGATGTCTTCCTTGACAGTATCAGGGCTTGAAATCAATGGGATGAGAACTGAGCTTTAAAGAGACTAAAATACTAGCTCTACAACAAAGCAAAGCCATCATAATTTTCCCTTTATACACCAGACCTCCATGAGAGGGTCAGGGGAGCAGACCAATGTTTCCATTTGCTTGAAAAGCAAAACTGGTACCACGAAGGAATTCATGTTCTCACCTGCAATAGACCAGAAGAGCCCAGAGGCTGGACCCTTATGAGAAACGTGATTAGGATTGGTTAGTAACTAGGTCAGCAGTCACTGTGTCTGGGTTCTTGAATTCTTCGAAGCAAGTTAATCATTAAAGGGAAGAGGTAAAAATATAGTCTTCAAGTTTGGTTAAACTAAAATTGGTCTAGTCGAGAAGGGGAGGGGGGAAGAGGGTTTCAGGAGTTCAATCAGCCCCTGATACAGGTGCTGTGGATACTCAAGTTGCTCTGGAATCTGCAGTAGATCTGGAAATTACCAGTAGTACAGAAGGCTCTAGCTTATAGGACAGTGGGACATGGAGGTGGAGAAGTGAGGGAAAGGAGTCCAAAACTTTAAGAAAGCTGGATTTCTGGGTTGAGAGTAGACTTTAAAGTAGGCACAGACTACTTAGACAAAGAGAAAGCTAGCCAAAGAAATAAGGAGGATGTCCTGGAGGAGGTGCTCTATGAGCTGGGGTCTGGAGGAATAAGGATATGGAGCTTAAAGGGCAGAGGAAGATGCTTTTTCTCATAGCAAGTGTGAGAGAGAAACTCAAGAAGGTTCAGCTTTAGGAAGTCCTCAACAAAGCATTTAAAAAGAGAAGCGGGGGCTTCCCTGGCGGCTCACTGGTAAAGAATCTGCCTGCCAATGCAGGAGACACGGGTTTGATCCCTGATCTGGGAAGATCCCACATGCCGCAGGGCAACTAAGCCTGGCCACCACAACTACTGAACCTGTGCTCCAGGGCCCAGGCACCACAACTATTGGAGCCCAAGCACCCTAGAGCCCGTGCTCTACAAGAAGAGAAACCACCGCAATGAGAATCCCTCGCACGGTAAAGGGTAGCCCCTGCTCACCACAACTAGAGAAAAAGCCTGCCGCAGAGCAACGAAGACCCGAAGCAGCCATAAATAAATAAATAAAACCACATTAAAAAAAAAACTAGAAGAGGATGCGATTTCCCTGGTGATCTAGCAGCTAAGACTCTGCACTCCCAGTGCAGGGGACCTGGGTTCAATCCTGGGTCAGGGAACCAGATCCTACATGCAGCAATGGACATCTGACACAGCCAACTAAATAAAGAAATAAACAAACAACTGATCAGGACCTTGGAGGGGTGTGTGTGTGTGTGCGCGCACGCACGCGCTGGGATTTTTTGTTGTTGTTGTTGTTATGCCACATGGTATGTGGGATCTTAGTCCCCAGACCAGGTATCAAACCCATGTCCCCTGCAGCGGAAGAGCCAAGTCTTAACCACTGGACAGTTGGGGAAGTCCTTGTGTCTGGGGACTTTAACAGGGAGGATCACTTGGTCAAATGTCACTGGTGAGAAGCGGTGCTAACAGGGCCAGAGCTGATGACTGTGAGGTTTGCAGAGAGCTGAGCTAAGGGCGAACAGAAATAAAAGGTCTTGAAAGAGGCCTGCTGGATTTCCAATCAGACCTGGAGTGTCAAGTTGCAGCCCCAGTGATAGTCAAACGTCTCGTATTTCTATTTGATCACTTCCACACTTAACTTCCCGCGAGCCGAGCACACCATCTGCACAATGTCGGGCCAAAGAAATAAAACCTGGGAGGAAATTGCACTCTGGTGCAGCATAATCGGCCCGATACGCATAGGATATTAGTTGAGACATGTGTGTCTTCACTCATCTAAGTATTAACATCCTGACTGTTTCGAAGCAGGATGTTTCCCATTTGGTCTGGCCCAGAGGCGGCTCCAAAATCAGCCGTGAAGTGGCAGCTTTCCGGTCTCTCCGCGCTCCTTTCCCCGGCTCCTAAATCGTATTTCTCCCAGGTCGCTGCCGACAAGTCTCATGTGTTGACAGGTTATGAGATTCAAGACAAGACACCAGCAGGAGTCCGGGTCTGAGCAAGAACCAGGCATGCAGCAGGAAGGCAACGTGACCCGAATGTTAAGTGACGGGGGCAGAAGGTGACCTGCCCACTCTTCCCAGCCGGCTCTCTTGTTGGCCTTGCTGACGTGGCCTCTGTAGCCCGTGGGGGCAGTGGCCTATCTCGAACAAGTTATGCAAACCCTGCAAACCTTAGTTTCTTCCTAAGGCTTTCTCTAGTTGCGGCGTGAAGGCTCCTCACTGCGGTCGCTTCTCTTGCTGCCAATCATGGGCTCTAGGCATATGGGCTCAGTGATTGGGGCACCCGGGCTTAGCTGCCCCTCAGCATGTGGGATCTTGCCAGACCTGGGATTGAACCTGTGTCCCCTGCATCAGCAAGTGGACTACTGCACTACCAGGGAAGTCCCAGGAATGATCTGCATTTACAAGACAGATTTAACCCTTCACAACCCTATAAGGCAAATTCCATTTTTATCTCCACGTCATAGAGGAGGAGGCTAAGGCACAGAGAGGTTGTGTAATTTGCCTGTGGTCACAGGGCTAGTAGATCTGGGAATCCAACTCAGGCAGCCTGACTCCAGAGTCTAGGTGTGAATACATAAAGGAGTGAATTAAAAAGCTGGTCTATTGGTGTGAGGACAGGCCGAGGACATGGATCCCAACAAGCTTCAGGAAGGTGCAGGTTATCTAAGCAGCACATTGATGACTTGAGGGCTGGAAGTTCTCATCCCAGCCCCACAGTGCCCAGTAACCTCAGTTATAATCTAATATTGCTGTGCAGTGGCCTAGCCACTCCGAGCTAGAGGTGAAAGCTGTCTCCCTTACTGAAAGAGGCACAGTGTAAGCTATAATTTGGAAAGTTAGAACTGGAAAAGACCCAGAGGTTGTCTAATCCCTAATTGTACATTTGCAGGAACTGAGGCAAGAAGCAGGAAGTGATGGAACCAGGGCCCGCAGTACCTGCTGAGACAGAAACCGTATCCCTGCCCAGCACCGTTTTCGCTACCACGTGGCCTCTGCTTCAGGCCAGGAGAGAGTCCTATTTGAAAGTCAGAAGAGCAGTTACAGACAAAAAAATGCAAGGTTTTTTTTCTTTTTTCTTTTTTCTTTGAAGAAGAGTTGAATACATGAATACATGGCAGAGTGTTTTACAACAGGAGGTCTTCCTTTTTTGCAAGAAGTTCCTACAATACACGAGTTTGGTGAAGTCATCAGGCTTCGTGTGTCCTCCTGCCTGATGCCTCAGGTTGATGCATGGATGCATAGAGTGGGCAGGACCCTTGTGTGCACCCTCCTTGGCCAAATGGGCCACTTGCTGTTCCCTAACCGTCACGGTCAAGAGTGAACTTTCTGGGCTTGGGGTACTTTGGACCAATGGGTCAAGTTCTGGCTCCCATGTTAGTCAGAACTGAATGTGAGTCTCCATCCTCCTTTGATCAGGGTGTGACCTCTGGCATGTCCCTTAACAGTCTCCCTGGCTCCACTTTCCATCTATCAAGTGAGGAAATAATCTCCTGCTGGGGTGTTATATACATGAGATTAACATATCTACAGAAAGACTGAAGCAGAGGGCCTGACACTCAGTAAATGGAAACAGGACTGCCTCCCTCGGAGGTCTTATTCTGCACGCTGATTTGATTTATGGTTGTTTGGGTTTACTTCTTATCTCCGCCCTATCTTACTGGCAGGAATTAGGCCAAGTTCATCTCTCCATGCCTACCTCACCCTGAGCCCCACACAAAATTGGTGTTCATTGAGCATGCATTCAATTGGAGTGACCTGGACACACAAATACGATGAGTTCATTGTAACCAGAAGCAAGGGTTATAGCTTTTGTAAAAAGCCTGTGGTGACTGCCTTTATAAATAGGCTTCAGGAGGTTCTGGGTAGAATGGAGAGTGGGGCATTGCTCGTGCTGACAGAAAAAATATGCACAACCTAAAAACTGAGTTGTGCTTTATTCAGCGGGGCATTCTGAGGCCTTCAAGCCCAGAACACAGCATCTCAGATAATGCTGAGCAAACTGTTCCGAAGAGGCAAGGGCGGAGCCAGGATATACAGGAATTTTTGCAACAAATGACCAAGTATTTGGAACGTGAAAAACTTACTACTAATTAAAGAAAACTAGACATCTCAAGATGCAAAGAATGAGATGTCTAGTTTCAGACATTTAGAATGAGAAGATGCAAAGTCTGGGCTCACTGATATCATTCCTTTGACTTGCACCTCAGCTACCTGGGGCCAGTATTCTGTGCTTTCTCATCCCGAATTTCCTTGGGGCTCACCATCAGGACAGCTGTAACGCGGTGGCTGGATGGCTGCATCATCCTTGGTTTACTGATATGGCTGGCAGTAGTTTAGTTAACACTCACAATTCTCGGCACTAGTTTTCTTATGGGTGATGAACACGATAATGGTAACCCCCACCGACAGAGGACTTCAAATAGTCCACATCAGGTTCTTCACCCCCTCAACCTCATGTCATGCTCACTGAGCTAGACATCGTTATCCTTATTTGAGGAAAAGGAAACTGAGGCTTAGAGAGACTATGTCATCTGCCAAAGGTCAGATGCCAAAGGTTAGAGCCATGGTTTGACCCCAATCCTGACTCCCAAGTCCATATTCTAAGCCCAGAGCCTGAAAAACTCCCTCCCATGTCTGCCCCTGTGCCTTTTTCTCTATGGCCATCATGCAAAGAAGGGATTTTAGATTTTTAAGCTGTTGGGGGAAAAATCAAAAGGAGACTAGTATTTGTGACACATGAAAATTATATGCTATTCGAATTTCTGTGTCCATAAATACAACTTCATGAGAATACAGCCACATCTTTTTGTGTATGTATTGTCTGTCTGCCTTTGTTCTAAAACAAAAGTATTGGAATATTTTCAGGAGAGACAGTTGTTCCTTAAAGCCTAAAATATTTACTACCTGGCTCTTTACAGGAAGAGTTTGTTGACCCCTGCTCAATGCCATACTACCTTTTCAGGTTAAACCTCCTGCAAAGAAAGTGTCCCTTTCCATAGACATGTCACTACAGAAAGAGCACTGACCCTGTAGCTATCAATATTGGTCCTAGATCCTGCCTTTCCCAGTGCATGCCAAGCCAGCCCTGGATTCTCACGGCCATCACCCAGCTCCTGGTGCGATTCAAAAGGCAGAGCTGGGGGCAGCCTCCGGACCCTGCTGGGCAGGGACAGGCTGGAGCAAGCCCGGAAGGAGAAAGAAAGGGATTTAGACCCAGAAGTCAGCCCGACTTCTTTAATACCTCCGTCCCCTTGATTCATGGTTTCCTGCCGCATCTTGTTCACCTGTGAACGTGCCCGGGCCCCAAGCGGGGACAGGCAAGCCAGAACCGATGAAAGCACAGGGCCCGTGCCCCACGATGTTTCTTCAGCTCCCCCCCCTGGAGCTGGATGGAGGCCTGGCTCAGAAGAGCCTGTCTCAGGGGGGCCTCAGGCTGTTTCCTCCCTGTCCTCATTTGTGAAATGAGAGCTTGGCTTGGCTGCTCTCTCTCTGTCCCCCACCTACCTGACGCACCTGCAAGAAGCAGGCCTGTCCTTCACGTTGCATAACCACTTTGGGAGAGTCCACAACACCCTCTGCCCTTCCATTGCACCCTGGGGGAGAGTTCCAAACAGCAGATTTTGCTCTCTGCAGCACTCCTTCATTTAGCAGGATTTTTGAGCACCGGCTGCATCCAGCTCTGTAGGGATAGGAAGGAAGTAAAAGTAATGGAGAAGCTTTCTGTTGGTTCCAGGACACAAGATGCACCAGATGGAGAAGCTACATGACAATCCCAGCAAATTCAGATGCCTCATACAAAAGCTGAGGGCCAGTTTTATATTTGGCATGCTCCGGGTACTTTCACTTAAACCACAAAACACTCCTGTGGGCCAGGCATCCTTAGATCCATATTAGAGATGAGGAAGCTGAGGTCAAATGGCTGCTAGGAGGTGAAGCTAGGCTTTCCGTGCAGGTCTCACTGGTTCTAAAACCTGCGCCTCTTTGATAAACGGAGCTATCCACACAGGGTGCAGTTGGGTGCCTGAGTGGGTGCAGCATGGCAATGTTAAGACAAATTCCTTAGAGGAAAAAGTCTTAACTGAGCCCTTACAGAGAAGTGAAAGAGCACCGAGACAGCAATCAAAATTCTTCCAGACCCAGCTCTGCCTCTTAATGAGCCCTTGGGTGAGATTTGCTTTTCATCCTTGGGGCTCAGTCTCCCCTTCTGTGAAACTGCAGTGGGGAAGCTGAAGCAAGCAATCTCAAAAGTACTACCCACCTTCACTGCTTCTCTCTGTACCTGCTTCACGGGTGCTGCACTTCAGCCCAAGGTTCATCCTTCAGCTATGGCCCTGAACCACAGGGCTCAACCCGACGGCTGGCATCAGAACCTTAAAAAGACAGAGAAGGCCTCGTAAAACTCAGACAGGTGAGCTACATGGGCTCATCTTGCCATGAGAAGGGAGTGGAAACCGGATAATGGGGACAGGTCGCCACCTGGGAAGCCACGCTCTGCCAACTGCTTGCTAATGGCACCTTGTTCTGTTTCCTAGTATTTGACTGATTGATTGTTGATCACCCTTTAAGTCTTATGGAGTGAAAAACAAAGTGGTGAGAGAAGAAAACTAAGCAGCAAGACAATTCAGAGTTTTAGATGAAGAAGAAATGGAGAGGGCTTCTAATTCAGTGCCCTCACCAAACAAAAAAGAAAGTCCTGGGGAGACAAGGAGGGCTTGAGGCTTGTCAAGGCTTGTCTGCAGGACGGCAGAACTAAGACCTCCCTAAGCCCTGGGCCCGTGTTCTTCTGGAGGCTCTATCTCCTGTCAAGCATGTCCAAATGCACTCACATTGAATAAATTTTGTTCCTATAATTGCTAAAGCATAATTCTAATTTTGCTTTTGAAGTGGTTGGACTGTTAGTAACATAAAATTTATGGTTGCTTATGATTCCTGAGTATTTGAATAATTGTGTTCCTTGGGATTCCTGCGAAATGTGAAAACCTCAACTAAAAGTTGCTTTCCTAGGAAAATTCTAAATGCTAAAGTCTATAGTTACTGAAGGTAGCCTATGAAGACGTTCTAATTAAACATAATAACTGACCTTGCCATTTCCTTTGATAGCTTCTTTTTTCAGGACTTACAAACTTCCCTAATGCCTACAAAGCTCCTAAGTAAGAAGGGTTGCGCGCTGATGGCAGCAGAGATAGGACCCCGCGCCCTCTCCCTCCCAAGCCAGCGCCGCCTTTGAGAACACCGGCCCTCAGCAGTGAGGAGGGACGCCGCCCCCTCCATGGCCACTGGCTCCGTCAGACAGTCAGTTTCCCGCCCACTCCCACCTACACAGATAACGATGAAGGTGGGGGTGACGGCAGCCCAGAGGGTCGTCCCCCGCCCCCGCCTCCATTCCTGAAAGAACCGGCTGTGCAAGAGGCTGCCCCCGCCTCTTTCAGCGCCTCCCTCCCGTTAGCCCTTCCGGCAACTCCATAAATCATCCAGGCGCTGCACAAAACCCCCTTCCAAGGTTTCCCAGAAAGAACCACTATTAAGTAAAACAAACGGGGGGAGGGGGGCGGGGACGGTGGTGTTTCTCAGAGGCTGACCTAGGCCCGAGGAGAAAGAAACCAAGAATGTAAGCTGGAGGCTGCACGCTGATGCCGACCAGACCTCGGTTTTTCAATGACAGCGCTCTGGGTTGTCTCGCTTTCATTTCCATTTGAAGTTGTGGGGCGGGGAAGGAGGAGGAAGGCTTTGGAGTGGGGGTCAGTGTGGGGAATAATACAAACAGATGAGGGTGAGTCAAGGCTGGAAGCATCCAGATGACCAGGATGAAACGGTTCCTGCTCGTAGAGCCACAACTTCTCTGCTCTTTAGGGACCCAAGAGATGACTGCAGAGACGTGAAGTCCGAATCTGTCTGTTTTATAGGATGTGGCCCCACAGGCACAGCTATGTAACCTCTCTTACTCCTATACCTCAGAGAGCACACAGGAGACCAGATCACCCGATCAGACATGGATTTACTCTCCTCGGTATATACAAGTGTCAATGCATTTTTCCATCGAGGGCATCTTCTACCCATTTAATTAGAGCCTGTACTTCCTCAGTGCTTAGCCTATGTCCTCTGTGAGGTCCCAGAAAGCACTGGCCTTAGCTTACTTCATGTAAATACAAGGAAATAGCATCAACAGCTAACACTCATGGGCTTCTTTCT